TTTGGCCTAAGAATGTTTCGGCCTTAACTTAGGAAATTTAGGGAAAATTACTAAAACATGATACTTAGGGTATAAGCCACGGCAATTAGGGCTTCTTTGTGATTAATCCCAATTAATCACTTAAATGATGTTTAATTATTAAATTAAACATAATACTTAATTACCAAAACTATTTCGGACGTAAACGGTACGCCGAAAATAGATTTCGGTAATCCGACTGAACTTAAATTAATTCCGAAAATAATAAACGATAACGTTACTATATCGGAATTAAACGTAATTTATACTGATAATATCTCGGGATATTACAGTATGAAAGTCCGTAGAAAATGTATATTCAAGAATTAACACTTCTTTATACGAAACTCCTGAAGAGTTGATCCAGTACATCTTGCACGTGCATCAAACCATTATAGTACTGGAAATGCGGAAATGTCGAAATTAGATGTTATGGGAAATGGTTATGAATATGGCTAGTAAATATGAAGTTGCATATATGCTTGAGAGAAAAATATAAATTGAATATCAGTTGTCGACAACATACTTGCCTATGTGATTTCTTTACTATCTCAAATAATGATCTGGATCAAAATAATGAAAGTGCTTGAAGCGCTTAGGTTGATTGAGATAGAAAGGAAAATTGAGGCAGAGCTTTCACTCGCTACACGATATATCCCAGGAGGATAGCATATCCCAGAAGGATAATGAATATGTATATGAAATATGTGATGTGGTGGTATGATGTAAATATAGCGAGATTATGCTCATGAGTTTATGCAGAGACCCATATATTCATTTAGATAAGTTCTCTCATTATCAATGATTCCGCTAGATATTTATGGCAGCATTATTACCATGACTATTGAGTCATATGTGAAAGTCCTGGATGGACTCGAGTACCCGAGATGAAAGATAATAAATAAATAAATAGCTTATTTATTTGAAGTTGTTGGTAAGATGTGGTACAACCAACTAAATTCTTCCAGAAGAAGTAAAGTAAGAAAAATTCAAGGTAGAACCTTGTGTATATTGATAATATACAAAATGATCATCTCGGTCAAATAGACAATGTGGTGAACACTATGTAAAAGATTAAATAAGTTAGCTCATGCTTATAGATGGAGTAAGAATGAAACTTTTGGTTAAATACCAAAGAGTATTATCTCGACTTGTAGATCGAGCATCTCCTAGAAGGAATATTTTTGACCCAACCAATCTACTTGTATCTCTTTTAGAGATGTAAAATTATAACACCAATGAGTGTCAAATATTTGGAATTTGACAAATATCCAAAGAAACAAATGAGGATATTATAGGACCTGGAGTTCCAAATGGACTTGAAGTCCACAAACGACATGAAGTTTATTTATTAAGCGCAATTGTGCTAAACTTTTATCACGCAAACTGCATCAGGCCTGATACTGAATTTGTGATGAATTTGCTGGCAAGATTTACTAAATCTCTCCTTAGAGAGATATCATGATAAATATTGAGAATATCCCATTATTCTTCATGTATGTTGAGTTATCTTTGGACTTGATATATGATATTGGTGGATAAGGACATCAATTGTATAATTGATCCCCGAAGTATGGGTCCTCAATTGATAATATACCTCTCAAATGGTATTAACTCTTTACCATTGGTTATTGAAATTTCCCCATATTTATCCTGAAGATAACTTAGTTTGTGTTACACAAGTAAATTATATAAATACATTTGATGATATTTTTGAATCTATATCAACTCCCGAAGAGCAACAAATGACGATTTTATGTTAGAAACTCTTACCTTGAGGGGGAGCAACATACAATTATGAATGTAACTAAAAAGGTTTTCCCTTCAGGGGGAGCGATAAATAAATCTCGAAGATCGAACCCGGAAGGTTAATTATAATCCTGAAAATTAGGCTCTGTTGGTCGGTGTTGTGCTCTTTTTCCCTTGACTAAGTTTTTTTTCATTGGGTTTTACTTAGTGAGGGTTTTAACGAGGCAGCATGTGTAACACATAACTTTGCATATGTTATGTACTCTTTTCCTCGACTGCTTTTTCCTACAGGGTTTTGCAGCGAGGTTTTTAACGAGGCATAGACATGATGCGGTAATGTCTAAGGGGGAGTGTTGTAAATATTAATTTATAGACATTACCTAGATATAGGATTTGTAGGTATGGGCTAGGAGCCCATTAGATCTTTTGTCATGTACATTGTATTTCCTTATATATATGACTCAAGTGAATGAATAAGATGAGGGTTTTGACGCCGTATCTCTTCTCTCTTTTTCTCTTTTACTACTTTCTCTCTTTGTCTATCTTGTCTGTCTCGCATGTTGACAATCTATATTACAACAGTATTAGTATTTTTAATAAAAAGATGCTAATTAATTATATTATTAGTAATTAAATTAAACTAACGAATATTTGATATCATAAACATAAAGAAATAATTCATAAAGATAAATGAGCCCATATATAATTTGGGCTTATGGATGGTATCTCAAAAACAACTCATTAATGGACTAAATTATTGATGAACGAAGGTGTAGGGTTGGCCCAAAACCCAATGCACCTAATCCTCTCTAAAGAACAACTGTAACATTTTCTTAAAATCCATGTTGCAGCTTATAAATAAACTTATGGGCTTTCCAAACGGTGCATAAACCTCTTGAAAGAAAACTGCATGCCTCACGCGATTTTTAGAGAGAAATTCGTGAGTTTTTTTTTTTTTTTTTTTTTTTTTTTTTTTTTTTTTTTCGACTGGGAGGTATCCCCACATTCATCCGAGGGTCTCACCACGAACTCCTAGCCCCCCTCGAGGTACGGGCCTAACAGGCTACGGGATCCACGCCCCAGAGAGGTGGGACTAATCCACCCAGGAGAAGCAGGGTTCCCCATCCCCACTCCCCACAGTAGTAGGGATCGATCCCTCAACCTCTACCTTCAACATGACTTTATCACTCCAGCAGGTGGCAGTGGACCTCACGCCCCTGGGGCAATTCGTGAGTTTTGTTGAGAGAAAAAAGAGAAAAAAAGATTGTGTTTCCTAGTTCAAAAAGGACCAAAACATAATTAGTTGCCAAATACCCGCGATCATAGTAAGCAAAATTTTAATCCGCTGCGCATATAGTTTTTTTCGTAGATAGTTCTTAACTTGCATGATTTCAACAATCCTCATACAGTCCCAACACCTAGAAGCAGAGCAGTCTCCAGAAATACGGAGGCCCTATGCAAGTTTTTTTCTCGAATTTTCTCGATTTGAACTTACGTGTTAATTAGGGCTATTCGCAGATAGAATCATAAATTTTAAAGAGACTATTAAATAAATGAATAAATAATTTAAAAAAAAATCTTGTTTTTCTTGAACTTGGAATTGATAAATTACCTCCGCGCTACAAAAATCTTTAATAAATTACAATCAACCAATCACGAGGAAACTAAAGCCAAGAAAATAAAAATCATATCACTACAAAGAATATTTATTTTCACACAACTTGTTCTGACCGAACATCCTACGAAAACAAATGAAATATTTAGGGTTTTAATTTTCTACACAAACTACATATTTTGCCATTAGCTCCTTCATTTGTGTAATGATTTAAGTTCATATTTAGCCATTAACCCCTTTGTGTAAATATTGTGTAAATAGATAAAATCCAACACAAATATATAATATTAAAAAAAAATGAGACTTCATTTATGTAGATAGACAAAACTCAACATAAATACATAATATTTAAAAAAAAAATATATACGAGGCCCCAAATAAAAGGGAGGCCCTAGGCCCATGCCTAGGTTGCCTCTCCCTGGAGCCGACCCTGCCTAGAAGATCATAAGATGGTAAGTGTTAAACCAAAGAAGTTGTAGTCAGAGGTGCAATTCTATAGTTTGGGAGGATATTGTTGTGATTCTTCTGTTTTTACCTGTTTGTAATTTTGAGTTTAATGTTAGCAGTTGTAGTGGTAGTTGTCTTTTAGCCGATGTAGTTGTGGAGGGCGACGAAATGTTAGCTCTCCCGGATGTGATACATTTGATTTTGGCGAGTTTT